CCCCCCCCAACAAGATGACGACGGCTGGTGGACGGTGTCTCTTCTATCGTCCCTGGAAGCGACAGTGCCCCTCAATTTTTACGATTCGAATTTATCGAATGTTATAATCTATCGATAAATAAACTACGCGCCGCGAGTTCGCACATTTAGGAGTGGCATTTATGAAATCTCGTCGATTATTTACCAGAAACGCGCGCATGCGTTAATGCAGAAAAATTAATTCAAGATGGCGTTAAGTAGGCTGGTTTATTATAATTTGCGCGTTGCGTATGATGTGATTGATAACTCATGCATAGAGGCTGATGAAACTTTTATGCGAATCCCGGGAATCAAAGATTACATTTTTAATGGCCGGCGACTGGCCAATTGTCCATGAAAATTTGAATATGTAATTCGTAACGAACGCATTATGCGTTACATTTTTGATGCCGGATTCATTGGAGACGATTAAAATTTAAATTTTAATGCGTCGTCCGTAATGGACAAATTAAGCATTATCTTGCCAATGTAAAACTCGTGGCTAATGGAATTGTGCAGTCGACCTTAGCACGCGCACAATCGTCCGACATAAAATATTTTTACGTTTATTTCGTTAACCTTTCCCGCTAAATGCTGTTTATGCCGAAATCATAAAAGCCACGAAGCTTCCGATAAAAATAGCGGTCGATTTATCGCGGTATCGTTATGCCCGTTGTAACGTGAATTTCATAGCGATTAAAAAAAAAACAGACTAATTTAAGATGCTTAGAAAAGTCTTAATTGCCACACAAGTGAATAAATCTCCTAAATTTTCCTTTTTTTTAAGTTAAAAAAACGTGCGTATTCGTTATTATACAAAATATCGTTGAGAAAAATCGACCGCCTATGACGATACTGACTCTTCAACATCTACATCTTTGCGGCATTTTAGAGAAGAAAATTGACGCAACGAGAGAATATCACGGGACAAATGTGACGCGACAAAAATAACGTGTGAATAAATAACGGCGACTTCTATTTCCCTCATTTTCTCTTTGTTAATATTAAATCGACAATAAAATTGGCTGCAGTAATAAATAATAACTCACGTACTGTCGACCCAATAACGCCGAAAATCCGCGTGGTGTTTTCTCCCACTCTTGAAGTTTACTCCACCGTTCCAGCACTTGCTCGCAATGGATGCCTAACACGTGTTATTACTTGTGCCCGCGTATAGAAGTATTTGCAAGTGGGGATTAGTGTAATCACTCGGTCCTTTCACGATCGCCCTGCCGTCCTCTGCTACCCCGACGCGACATCCGGTAGCGGAAAGTGGACTGCCGAAATTGGAAGTCCCTATCCGCGCTTTCTCGCGCCTCGCACTGCCTCCTCGTTCTTGGCTGCTGACTACGCCACCTATAGAATCACCTCGGCTCGTGTCCGTGTTTTTCATTCCCTTTTTCACCCCTACTTGCTGTTGCTTTACTTTTCTACGCCTTCTGCTCGCTATCCTCTTTCCTGCGCTTTCCCTTCTTTCTTCCCCGTTTTCAAGTCACTCCAGTCTCACCTGCAATCATCGGACAAATAGCAGACATAAGTAAATTGTTCCGCACAGATTTGATGTTGAGAGGTGGCACATTTGCCTCGCGGCGAACCTAGGATGATTGGTTTCGCGGTTCATGAATTTTTACTTCGATGTTGACTTCATTGATAAAAATAACCCTCTGCCTCTGACACGCTCGCCTTTGCAGTACAATATAGGGCATGTGTTTCTATGTGTGACGCGAATGCGTTAGATAATAGCGAAATAGCGGAGTGAAACAGTGATCGTTAGTGTTACGAGCGAACAAGACAGGCATGAAAGGTGTTAGTCTTTAATTCCACAAAGGGTCAAGGAAGGACGGCCGATGAGATGCGCGCGAGCGGTGCTTTTTGCCATGAAGGCGGCTATATCGCACTGATAGCAACCGGTTCGCTCGCAAAAATATTTCGCGACGGAATCTCTCAGACGTCACCTGGTTTACGAGCATTTTATCCGCGCGCCGCACCTTCGCGCGGCCGAAATCGGTACTCTCGATTTTTCAGCGCTGTTATTGGCGTCGCGACACTTAATGCGCGGCTGGATGCACACGCGTTATGCGTTGCTCGCGCTCGGCCAGTGATATACGGTCAATAACGGGACGCAATAGGAATCTATGGGGCCCGCTATCGAGCTGTAGTGAACGATCTGGGAAGACTATTCCGCCGTAATAGTTCGAGGGGACTCATTTAACGTCGCCTATCGATCGCACGGCGCAAAAACATTTAGCGTAACCCACGATATTCTTCCTGTCGCTCTCGCTGAACGTCGAATTAGGACATTATCGTGCTTGCCGATTTGTGCGACGTCGGTTGTTCCACGATTTTATTTTCGCGCGATCAAAAGGAATTCGTGTCAATATACAGAGGATAATCTTTATGAAAATTATTTCAGGAATCTTGGCTGTTTTGGTACGCTGGAAAAATGATCTTTGGAAGTAAAATATTTGATTTGTTTGGCTTTGTCATGTTTTTATTTGTATCAAATAGGATATGTGAAAAAGGAAAACCTACAAACGGCAATTAAATTTTGGTATGTACAAAAACCAAATTGGTTGATCTCGTTTTAGACAAATTCTGGTTCAGTGTATCAAACTTCCGATTCAACTACAAAAATATCCTATTTTCAGTATAGAAATTTTCATTGTCACACTACGTATTGAAGTTAGGTATCAATGAGATTTCGAAACTTCGAAACACAAGAAAGATCTTTGAGGGAAGTACCGATTAATCAAGTCAATTTCGCGCGTGATATGATTGAAGCATTTAAATGATGCCACGTATGTTTAGAGCACGCGTTCGCACAAGTGCCGCAATCGAGGAATTCCCGAGAAGCTATATATACGCATAAAAAACTCTAACTAGTATTTAGTATTTCTAATGAATTCAATATTTCAACGCACGTGCGCATACAGACGTGCGCGATTATCGAGCGTTCGTGCGACGAAGTACGATAATAAAGAACTTGCGCAATTGCGTCGTACGCGGAAGAGCAACCGTGGTTATTTTTCGTTTACAAACACCTTTAATCGTAAATCATTCGTCTTTACGATCGGCAGTAAATGTTTCTTTTTGCTGTACCTTCGATTACCGCAATGCAAGCGTGATGTCCGTCACATCGCCTTCTCTAACTTCACCGTGCTGCTTCACTGGATTATCGCTAGATTATCGCGCATCATCGATTGAGCCTGTTGGATTCGACTTCCTATCCTTGCGACGCATACGTTTACATATATACGAGATACGTTTCATCTCACGTCGAGATGGTAATTTATCAATGAATAATTCATCAAATTACAAAATAAGCGCGTTACATTAGAAATATAAAAAGGGAACTTTAAAAGAAATTAACCGCCTTCGAAAAGACCAAAAGCCTTCCAAATTATGAATTAATTTTGAATTAAATTATATTTTTGAGATTTTTTAGATTTATTTTTGTTAAAAAAGTTTATATATATATATATATATATATATATATATATATATATATATAAATTCTTGTTTTAATTTAATATTTTTGATTGAAATGCAAAACTTGCTTACATTGAACTTTTGATACATTTGCGAATATATAAACTTATGAAAACTTGAAATACTTAAAATAAGCAACATTTATTTGAGTGCAATATGTATCCTTCTGTATGCTCGGATCCGAGATGTTCTCGGAATTTCAAGGAAGTAATGAACTTGCTCAATTTTCAGGTTAATGTAGATAACATATTGAATAAATTAGGAGAAAAGTTTCATCGCGATATCTCTAACGGTTTTCGATCATAACAAGGGAATATACAAACAAATAAACACATTCATATGTACAGGACAAATTGATAACTTCCTCGAAGTCGGCTAAGAAACTAAGATTCGCAAGGAATGAATGTGTCCGGAGCTGGATATCTTCGATGGTTGCTAACGCTTCCGCGTTTCATAAATAATACCCAACGTCCTAACGTTGGTAGAGCGAAATTTGTTAAGTTGTTCGCTACCACACTCGCGACATGGTTTCAACGGAAAGCACCCGCTAAAATATGATAACATTAAGCTCATAATACTGTCGGGGAACGTAAAATCTTAACACAGCCGCTGTACTTTACGCGGCAATTCATTCACAAGTCGGCGGGGATAAACGCAGAATTTATGCACCGTTTGGCGAGATGCACAATGGTCTCGCGAGCTCTCCCTCTCCCCATCTCTCTTTCTCTCTCTCTCTCTCTCTCCCTCTTTCTCTCTCTCGGATTTTACGTCCACTAATTTAGACTCTATTAAGCGAACTTCGTGACGTCGCGCGATGCTTATCGGCCGGTTCAGGAGAACGTAAAGCTTGACCGTGCAATGTACGTACGACCGCCTTCGCGACTTTAATTACGAATATAGCTCGATCTCGTTGATAGCGGTCGCGTTGTTTCGCATATATGGTAACGCTTGTTTAACAAGCGACCGAAGTGGCCGCCGAAGTGGAGATATCACGGGGTAACGTATGAGCGAAAAAGTCCACGTAAAGCAATTTCAGTGGATGTATCGGGGATTGAAAGCGCATAAGCCCGCAGCAATTACACATCTACGACACTGTCGTACGTAATCACTCTGCTTCGGAAAACACTCATGAGTCGCCGATCGGTAATCTGCTTGGAAAAGACCGAAGTTGATGATAATCACTACTTGTATGCATACCGTCAATCGATGTCGTAGAAAAAACACGGTTTTAATATTGATCGCGAAGTTGTACCAAACACATCAGAATGTGATTGCTGTAAATGTATATATGCCTCACGTCGTGCATGCTGTTTTAATGTAAATCTTCAAACGAGCTGAGTTTACTGCAATTCCGATTCATCAAGTTACTTGAGGTTGATAATTAACTGCCAGAAACTGTTTCTCGTGAGAGAAAGGGAGTTATATTTTATTAAAATTCTGAATAAAAGAAAAAAAGAAAAATAGGAATGAATTATTGTGTGTATATGTGTGTGTGTGTGTGTGGGCGTAATAATCCTTGGTTTAATAATACCTTCGAAGTACATGCATGTGCTTCACGCATTACATCTCTGTCGATGTAAGTGGCACGGTCGATCACTTCGACTTTGCATCTTGTGACTACAGCGACATATCGAGCATCAGAAATGCGTCCGCGAACAATTATATATTGCGAAACTATTATAATGATCGCGGTTTCACAAGCGCATTCCTAGAAAGCGTTGTTGCAACCCGCGGAACACGCCTTATCTTTCTATGATCCGAACGCGAATTTCATCCCGCGTGGCTCGCACCTTTTTGCGACAAAGTGAACCAATATCTAATTTTCCAAGTGATATATTTTAACATTATATATCTTCGCTACCTTTGCAAATAGAGTCATTAGTGTTTTCCCCGATTTTTCTCCCTTTTCGAAAAAATCCCCCAAAATTACAGAAACTTCGTTTACCCTTTCACTTGAAGACCACAAAGATTTTTTAGTGAAAAATAAATTGCTAAGTATTTTATTTTTTATGATTTTCCAACAGAAATGCTCTCAGGAACGAGTACTTTTCAGAACGACCCAGACACAAATGATCCTGATTGCCACTCGGAGAGTTAACAGACACGTTAATATAACTGCTTGCAACTACCGCTTACCGCAAATCTGTACAACTTTGCATTGTTACTTATACGCTCCATTTGCGCAGTCGAATATGTGTGAAGCAGATAACAGCGGGTAATTAAGTGCTAATGAATACGATTTTTCGATATTAACTTAGCAGGTCTGAATATGCACGTTAGTCTAATGGAAGAGGGAAGTTAAGGTTATGCAACCGTAGAGACATAAGAGTAATTACTGCTCACTAGGAGTACATTAGCTCTTTCGCCTTTCCCTCGGCTCACTTTAATTCTTAGCCTCTTACGATAAACGTAGCTTTATTTTCGAATTTTACCTCGCATTCAACTGAAAGTACCAATGAACAAATTTTCCATTTCGACTCGCACTCGACGGAATGAAGATTTCAACGATGAGAGCAAAAAATGCTTAATCTCACTAAAATTATAGTCATTTGTGGCGACGACTAATCTTCTGTTTCTTTTAGCTTTAACAAAAAAATATAATAGCAGTAATATGCATGTGAGATTTTTATCATAAACATTATTCTCTAAATTTCTTAGAGTAAACTCTCACTTTAAATAAGTGAAAATTCACTCCAGAAGGTAGTGAAAATACTGCCACTGCGAATGGAGTGACATTTCACACAAGAGTAAATGTTCTACTTCAACCATAAAGTGAATTCTTACTCTGTATAAGTGAACGTCTGGATTGTAGTGATTCACTCTTATCGAGTGAATTTTATTCTATTTCATTTATATTGTATTTGAAAAATACGCTTACAATCTAACCGGAATCGACTATAAGAGTGAGAAGTCACTTCAATTCGAATGACTCGGCCGTCACTACATTTTTCAAATGAAATCTCTCTCTAAGATTTAGAGAGTACAGCGACACTTGCTAGAGAAATGGTTCTTCCGACT